CTTCCCCTCCGCTTCCGCCGCGCCGGCCCCGGGCCCGGGGGGCTCCGGCCGCTCACCCCCTCTCCCTTGCAGGTTCCCCCACCCGCTGATGCTGGGCTCTGGCATGCACACCACGGGCATCCCCCACCCCGCCATCGTGCCCCACTCCGGCAAGCAGGAGATGGAGCACTATGACCGCAACATGTGAGTTTGGGGGGGAGGGTCCCCCGCCGGGCTGTGGGTCCAGGGAGGGTCTCCTCCCCCGCTGCTCTGCCCTAGCGAGGCCGTCTTTGGAGTGTTGTCTCCTTCTGGGCTCCCCGGGGCAAGAGAGACAAGGGACTACTGGAGAGGGTCCAGTGCAGGCTAGGAAGATGCTGAGGGGCTGGCGCATCTCTGTGCCAGGACAGGAAAGGGCAGGGAGCAAAAGGCTGGGGCCAGACTCTGGTCAGTGGTGCCCAGCAACAGGACAAGGGGCAACAGGGACCAACTGGAACCCAGGAGGTTCCGTTTGAACAGGAAGAAAAGTTTTTTTCCTGTGAGAGTGCACGAGCCTGGAGCAGCTGCCCAGAGAGGCTGTGGAGTCTCCTGCTCTGGAGAGATTCCAAACCTGCCTGGATGTGACCCTGGGCACCCTGCTGTGGGTGAGCTGCTGGAGCAGGGGGGTTGGATGAGATGACCTCCAGAGGTCCCTGCCAACCCCACCATGCTGGGATTCTGTTGGCACCTTAACACCCACTTCATTCCTCACTATTAATGCATGCACAGAGGGGAGGACAGTGAGCACTGAGCTCTGCCTCCATCAGCAACAGTCTGCATCCAAAGTGCAGAGCTCAGGCCCCCACCTGCTGAGTGGGTTTGGTGTCAAGTCTTCTGCTGAGCTTGGTGCCAGCAGGCAGCTGGGCTGGAGGGTGGCTCTGATGCTGACAGTTTCTCTTTCGGTCCCACCAAGGAAACCTCAACCAGAACCAAAGAGAGAGAAGGAAGCCAAGAAGCCCACTATCAAGAAGCCCCTGAACGCTTTCATGTTGTATATGAAAGAGATGCGGGCGAAGGTCATTGCAGAGTGCACCCTGAAGGAGAGTGCTGCCATCAACCAGATCCTGGGGAGGAGGGTAAGAGCTCGTGGGGCTCAGCACCGGGCTCCAGTGCAGCATCCCACCCCTGCCACCTGCTCCTAGGCATGGAGCAAGGATCTGCTCTCC